AGTTGACTCATGAGGAACATGAGTCAAATATCACTGGGTTGAGGTTTACACCAGAGTGTTATGACCAATGGACATTTATTTGCAGACCTGAAACTTTGTAACATGTCCTGGTGGGTTAGTCCATGTTGACTAGAGAAACAAATTCAGGACACTCATATATATATGAGAGCTTTATATCAAATAGTAATTTTATATTAAGAAAACATCCCAGCCTAGCCCAGATCAAATCCTTAAGTCTGCTATTAGCCCATATGTCAGAAACCAATCTATAAATTCCTCTTCAGACTAACAAAACACAGGCAATAATGCCAAATGCAGGAAAATCACAGGCCAGTGGGTGGAAAGTCTTGTGGATCCGGTGGCGGTAGATGCATCCTAACGCTAACATGAGTCTCCACGTGGCTCCTCCAAGACACTGGCTGCCATCGGTATAGCTCCCTGTGGTTTGTCAACAGGAATGTCTCGCAGGGAGATGAAGCAGAGAGTGTCTGTGCCCTGTCTCCAGCGAGCTATTTATCTCTGTAGAGCCTCCAAGTGATGACCTTGAGGTCATCAAGCAGTGACCTGAATGACAGGCTAAACTCCACCCCTTCACTATTATTAGTCTCAAGTTGGCACCATATTATGTAACTACCACACCTGGTAAACAACTACCCTGAGCATTTCTCACTGGTAATACAACGTGCTAACTTTGTTAATAAACCTTTTAGATATCAAGCAGGCTCAGAATATAATTCTAAAGAGTACTTGGTCTGTCTCCACCACCATCCTGTTCCTAATCAGAAATTCCAAGTAAGTGGCTACTATGCTCAGTGTAAACTGTTAACAATTTATAAATTCTGCAAAGTCTAACAAAATATGTCCTTAAGCTAAGATTAATCACATACTAATTGTAGCTAAAATTGCATGCTATTTGAAAAGAACATGAAATATTGATTCAGAAAGTCTTGGGTTTTTCATTTATGAGCAAATTAATTATGGGCAATTCACTCACCAGAGGCCCACTTTTTTCAACTGAGGAGCAAGAATAATGTGCTACTTCCCTTTTTCATAATTAGGATTAAATATATGTTTCTACAATAAGAAGAGGTTTCAAAAACTTTGTGGAAAAATTGAGTAAAAGATCCTGGAAGTTTTCCACAAAGTTCTAAAAGCCCCTTGGTACATTATACAGTATCACACAAAGATAAGAAATTATTCTTGTAGCAGCTCATAGTGTAGGAGTGATTGAACATTCGGGATGCTAACTAAATAGCTATACGACTTAAAGTGAGTGTACTACTTCACTTAATATGTCCTGTCACATGGAAAATATAAGCCCATGAGCCAGAGTACCAATCTACAGATACCACCTGAAGATTGAAATCACCTCAAAGGCAGATTTCATGCATTGGACACAAATGACTGAAAACTGTAAGTACCATGAGTTAATATCAAGAACATACATGAATAAAAAGCAAAAGGTCATAAGAAAGGAAAGAACAGACCAAAATGGACATCAAGAGAGACTCAAAATTTTTCATGAATGTACAAAGGCTAAAGTAAATATAAGAAATAGTAAAGTCAAGGAGCTAAACAGAAGTCAAAAGGTAGTTTGAGAAGACTACGTGTTAGAATGAAATGTGTAAAAACCAGGGGTTAGAAAACCAAAAGAGAAAAACATGGCTGGAATTTATAAAGCTGAAAGAAGAGACGAAAACTTTAAGTCTTCGGTTGCAGTACTGAAAGATTCTAAAAGTGAAACAAAGGGGCCATAGTGACATAGTGAGTTACACGTTCACTAAGCACAAGATCAGATTAGGCTTTCATGCTCCCAAAGATTTACAGTGTCAGAAATTCTATGGAGCAGTTCTACCCTGCACTGTAGGGTTGCTATAGGTCAATTGAGTCCATAGGGTTTTATGAGTAAAATACTGAATGAATGAATCATCAAAAGAAGATGGAACAGATTCAGAGTCATTGTACCAAAAAACAGTGATCAATGCTCAACGATTTCAGGAAGGAGCATACAATCAATAATATTGAAGGAAGAAGTCCAAACTGCACTGAAGGCACTGGCATAAAACAAGGACTTTTCTGTCTAAAGCAGATAGGCTGGATGAACAATCGGGAGGAGAAAACAACGGGACAGACAGTTTCGGGGGGACATGGGAGAGAGGGCGGTGGGGGGAAAGGTAGCACTGTTAACAAACCCAGGGAACAAGGGACCCACAAGTGATTCAAATCAGTGGTGAGGAGGGTGTGTAGGAGGCCTGGTAGGGCATAACCAAGGGGAATGTAACCAAGAGGAACTGCTGAAACCAAAATGAAGACTGAGCATGATAGTGGGATAAGAGGAAAGTCAAAGGAAATAGAGAAAAGAGCTAGGAGGCAAAGAGCATTTATAGAGGTCTAAATAAAGGCATGTACACATGTAAATATATTTATATATGAGGATGGGGAAATAGATCTATGTGCATATATTTACAGGTTTAGTATTAAGGTAGCAGAAGGACATTGGGTCTCCACTCAAGTACTCCCTCAATGCAAGAATACTGTCTGCTATTAAATTGCCATTCTATGATGCTCACCTTCCTGACAACTGCTGAAGACAAAGTGGATGAATAAGGAAATGGGATGAAGAAAGCTGATAGTGCCCAGCTATAAAAAGATATAGCATCTGGGGTCTTAAAGGATGGAAGGTAAGCAAGCGGCCATCTAACTCAGAGCCAATGTAGGCCACATGGAAGAAGCAACCAGCCTGTGTGATCACGAAGTGCCGAAGGGATCAGTTATCAGGCATCAAAGTACAAAAAATCATATCACTGTGTGCTCATCTCCCTGATATGATCACTGAAGACAAATGGGTGCATAAGCAAATGTGATGAAGAAAGCTGATGGTGCCCGGCTATCAAAAGATATAGTGTCTGGGGTCTTAAAGGCTTGTAGGTAAACAAGCGGCCATCTAGCTCAGAAGCAACAAAGCCCACATAGAAGAAGCACAGGAGCCTGTGCAATCATGAGGTGTCGAAGAGATCAGGTACCAGGCATCATCAGAACATAAACATTATATCATAGTGAATGAGGGGGGGAGTGTGGAGTAGTGACCCAAAGCCCATTTGTAGGCCACTGGACATCCCCTTACAGAAGAGCCTCCGGGAGGAGATGAGCCAGTCACGGTGCGATGTAGCAACAATGAAACATACAACTTTCCTCTAGTTCCTAAATGCTTCCTCCCCACCAACTATCATGATCCCAATTCTACCTTACAAATATGGCTAGACCAGAGGATGTTCACTGGTACAGATAGGAACTGGAAACACAGGGAATCCAGGACGGATGATCCCTTCAGGACCAGTGCTGAGAGTGGCCATACGAGGAGGAAATGGAGGAATAGATTACAGGGATCTACATATAGCCTCCTCCTTGGGGATGGACAACAGAAAAGTGGGTGAAGGGAAACATCAGACAGTACAAGATATGACAAAATAATAATTCATAAATTACCAAAGGTTCATGATGAGCGAGTGGGGAGTGGAGAGGGAGGGGAAAAATGAAGTCATGCCCTATCAGTCTCACCCCTTGGTTGGAAGGCCCTGGACCAATCTTGTAAGCTCTTCTTATCATGAATGTGTCCCAGTCACAATCATTTTGCTGCTTCTATAGATCCACCTATAACTATGATGTATTGATCTGCCACTAATCATGCTTTGTAACAGTTTCCTTTGTCCTTCCCTATCCTATTTATCTAGCTTCCCAATTGTGAATCCTCGGATGCCATTTAACTTCCTGCTAATGGCCTCCTTCATCCAGATGATGGGTCTGGTCTTTGTGTTGTCTTTGTCTCTTTTAAGACTTAATAAATATCCTCCTTAAATTAAAAATAAAATGAGTGATTATATCTGTCAAGCAAGCTAATAATTCTGGAGAAATATTTGTTTAAATGGAAATACAGCTCCTCCCTAAGCAAATAGGTTCCTTCAATGACCATGTTCACTAATCTAATACAATATTCATTCTCCAAACAATGACTTTTGTGTTTTCACAGATTAAAGATCAATGAGGCTTGATGTGACCCAAACCCAATGAAAAAACAGAGTATCTGACTGTCCAATGTCTCATAAGAAAACTTGACATTTCAAGTGAATACCTTAACTGGAAGCATAGCAAACTTCCCCAAATTAATTCTATTCCTCTTTTCATAAGATCTCTCAACTAATCTAGAGAAACACATCTACATCCATTCTGTCTATAATCAGTTTTCCTGCTTCTGAAAAGTATCCCTTTATCCTTTTAAAAATTCCACTACTGTGACACTGTCTAACAGATTATTTGCTCTCAGACACTTGCAGAATGGTGATCTTTATGAATTAGTTTCAAATTATATAAACTATGCTTAGATGATACTATCTTTGAAGTCATATAACTAAAAACAGAAGCCTGAATATTCTTTGATTAAATCAGGTCCCCTTCCTTTCAAATAGCTCTCTCAGCTCAGAATAGTCTGGACATTAGAATCTGATGAATATATTCAGGAATATGGTTTCAACTCTTCAGTCTTAATTTTTGCCATATATAAGTAATTTAAATACACACAAATATATTAAAAAAATAAAATCATAGTCTCAACAAGTAGTCCATAAATCAGTGACAAAGCTCCCCACTTTCCAGCACAGGAAAAAATACCTGGTGCTAACACTGTAAGTAGAGATCAGATGCCTCTGGAATCCCAGAATGTGCCCTGATGAGCCTCACCAGTAGCAGGTGAGCTCTGCAAGCTTCCTGCCTACAGGACAAGCTAGCTCAAAAGTAGTTTCTGTTGACAGAAGATAACTGGTTAATGCTAGGTGATCAACTTTTCAGAGAACAGGAAAATAAATTAGGGGTGTTTATCTCTAACCCCATGAAAGCATAATACAAACCACTGTATTATGTAATAAATATCAAGTCAATATTAATGGAAAATTGCTCATTCAGATGTAATAATTAAGAAAAAAAATCATCCCTTTCAAAAATATTACCTGTTAGCGTGAACTCCATTCACCTGAGTGATTACAGTAGACAGCTGACCAAGACCTAACATAGACTTCACTACACCATGATAATGAATAATCTAGAAATTAAAAAATATTTAAAATCGCAATTATCATTTCAAATATACCTTGAAAACCAACAACAGCTTACAGTTATTCATTACAAAATACTATTTTCCTCATTATTACTACTTTCTTAGTTTAGCAACTCACTTATTTGGCTATATGGGACAGCCCTCTACCAATGTACACATTAAAAAAAGTATATAAACTACAAAACAATTAAAAAATCCCTGAAGTTGAATTTTATTTCCTTCCAGATTTAATCTGATTTTCACTTCTGATGAAATATAAATGTAATGATTAAAATATTATTTGTTCTATTACTTCTCATATAAAAGCTGAAGCTCAAAGTCACAAAATTAATATCGATTTTGATTTTTAGTAACTGAAAGATAATTAATTATAATTAACTGTAATATACCTCAATATTGAAAACAAAGATTGTGAAAAATAAACTCATTGTACTTTGAACTTCTGAGAAAATAAATATGCTAAATGTAAGGGAAAATACAGTATCTCAAGATTAGAAATTATCAAAGCTGGGATTAAACATCAGTGATGCTATACACATTCCCTGTCCCGAGATTTGATATATAAAACATACCCCTATTAGTAAGTGTAATTCAATGATTCTAAAGGAGAACTTCAGAGATTCAAACATGAAGAGGGGAGAATTTAAAATCTGAAAATATTTCTCAGAGGATAGAAAATCACTATGACTATTAAAAACTGGCTTGAGTCTTATATTTTTAATATCCAGTTAAACTGTGTAATTTCAAGGCTTTGTTTTCAGTGACCACCTTACCTGGTCTGGTTCTAGCTGAATAGCTCGGTCATAACAAGCAGTGGCATCCCTCAGCAAGCCAATGCTTTCATGTTCAAGGATCTGTTCTTTCAGCGATGGCTCTGCTGTTCGAAGTGCACTAACCCCAGCCACACCATCTGGTTCATGCATCGCAGCATACAATTTCTTTATTCAACCAATGAAAAAAACAGTCAAATGGATGAGGGGTGAGGGAGACACAACTGAAAATAAGAATGTGAAACTAGTTGTTTATGTAAAGGAGCACATGAGAAATTTTCCCCCCATCAGAACAAGAATAATTATTGGCTTCAAGGCAGATTTATAATAAAATTACGAACTACAATTCTATTAACCTCAACACTTAATGCACTTAAATTATAAAGAACCCCCAAGATCCTGAAAGCTCTTTGAAACTAAGGGATAATAAATCCTGTTGCATACAGTTTATACTATAAGTATTTTCTTTTAAAAACTTTTAATAAGCATTTTAGCATATTGGTATTGATATGCCTTCAAGAAATCAGATCTGGGATAAAAAGGGGATATCCAGGTTGAAAATAAAAACCTGGAAATAATTAAGACAAAAATAATTTAAAGCAGGGAAAATGATGAAATGATCTAAAAAATGAAAATAAAAAGTATGAGAAAAGAGACAATAGTACTCCTAACTAATTTAGCAACTAAAAGGAGCCAACTAATACAACAGAGAGAAAACTGGATATGAAAGAAAACTAGAGACTGAGGGATTACAAAGCAGTGAGAGAAGAATAAGTCAAATGATGCTATAAAGATGAGGAGGACTGAGAATATTTCACCACACATGGTAACTTGGAGACCAATAATTTCCTTAGTAACAGCAATGAGCAGGGAAAGAAATACCTGGTTGGAATAGGAAGAGTATATTGTACAAACTGAAGTCAAAGCAGGAAAGGCTGACAATTTTTTCAAACACATTGGCTATAAAAAGAAACAGATGCTAAGGCTCTGGAGGAGAATGTAAAATCATGGTAACTCATAAAATATTAAGTTAGGAGACAACAGAGTATATATGTATACACATTCTCATACAGATGAGAATATTCTGGCTGAGAAGGAGAAATTCTGAAGAATAACACTCCGAAGGAGTGAAACCCTGGAATCATGACTATAAGTAGAGTACATTGCTAATGAATATTGATGAAACTGAGAAGCACCTCATGACATGGATGAACATGGAGAATATTATGCTGAATGGAATTAGTTGCAAAAGGACCAAAACTGTATGAGACCACTGTTACAAAGTAAAAACTGAGACAAAAGATTTTGTAACAAAAGAAACAGACTTTAATGACTAGAGGGGCAGAGAAGAGTGGGCCAAAGGAGAGAAAGTAAAGCAACAGGTGGGGCAGTGTTTCCCAAAATGGGCAATGCTGCCCCCTTGTGAGTGCTGCACTGACCCATGGGGAGCAGGTGACTACACTTTATCCCAGATTATGGCAAAAACTTTTAAAAGGAAGTTTTTAATTGTTAAGGGGCACAGAGCAATTTTTTTCTTCTTTTCTGAAAAGGGGGTGGTGGTCCAATTAAATTTTGAGAACCTCTGGGCTAGGGAGTAGACAGGGAAGATATACTCTATAAGAGGAAGAAAAGAAATTTGGGGCGGGGGGAGACGGAGCGCAGGGCAAGCCATTGGAAGGGGGTTGATGAATAGTTTGAACTATTAAAAATAAAATTGGTGATCTGAAATGTAAACCCATACCTAATTCACAATAAAAAGTTTAAAAAGGAACACAGTAGAAGGGTCAAATTTTGATTCAGGAGGAGATTTTTCCTTAGGGATAACAGGAAGGAAGAAAAAGAAGAATTAAGGGTACAGATATCAGGTCTCTTTTTTCGTAATGAACAATGGCACAAATTTATAATTTCACAGTAAATGAGGTAAATGCAAAGAAATGAGGAAGAAGGAAAGCATCGCCTTGATAGAAAAATGACCTTTTAAAGAAATAAAGAGGGAAGCAGTGTTAAAAGGCCCTGCAGATGTTTGAGATCACATACTTGAAGATGTATCAGTCAAAAAAAACCATCTTCTTCAGCATACACAGGGGCACTCTAGAGCTGGAGTTTTACAGTGTGAATACAACAAATGAGAGGAGGGGAAGAGAGCTGAGTATGCTTGTAAAAGGATGATTGTAACAAGGAATCACAGGCTCCAAGTTAGATGTGAAGGAACACAAAATAAGGAGAACACTAATATTCATCCTACAAGGACAAGCTAATAATTTTCCAGTTCTCTTTTAACATTTTGCTTTTTTGAGCTGAAAAAGCTCACTAATGTTACTCTCTAACTTAAGCCCCTGTATTAGACCCACTGGCCCTAACTTCCTATTCTTCCCTTCACCACCATTATGTGGTCAAATAAACCATTATTTCACCAGCTGTCTGATTCCTAATATAACCAGCATTATCGCTCTACCCACCAACCTCCACATTCAGGTCCCTACTTCTCACAAGAATAGTAGCAATGGTCTCCTTGTCTTGAATCATAGTTCTTTCCTACCTTTCCTCTACAAATGCCACAGACTTTTAGCTAAAATGCCATGCTAACCATATATAAGGAGGCTTCAAAAATTTTGTGAAAAAATGGAATAAAAAGATCATGGAAATTTCCCACAAACCTTTTGAACCCCTTTCAAATTTCCATTCACGTTTTGAAATCCAGTTCCTTGGGTAACTTTTTTTAAAAAAAATTTAATAAATCATTTTATTGGGGGCTCGTACAACTTTTATAACAATCCATACTCCTTGGATAACTTTTAACAGGATCTTTCCTCTATGTAAATCTTCCAAAAAAAATCTTCCTTTTTTCCCTCTGCCAACCGAGAACTGACACCTTATTCTTCAAAACATAGCATCCTCTTTTCATTCTCCAGAGATGCCCTCTGTTTGAAATGTCTTCCTTTTATCTGTTTCTGTGTTTCTATTGCTCATCCTTAAAAAACCAGCAGAGACCTCATCTCCAAGAAGCCCTTTCTGACCTCCTGCTCAGCCATGCCCTCCCCTACCAAGAGGATGGATTAAGCATCCTTCCTCAGGGTACATTTATATCACTGTAGTGAAGATAGTACATTTAATCTATGCTTATCTCCTCCCTAATCTGTAATCTTCTAAATTAATTACAAATGTCTAGTGCTTAACACAGGATTCAGTACACAGTAGATGATCAATAAAATGAACAACACAAATGATTGGCAATGTTAATCATCATTACTAAATTCATTATATTAATTTCAAACCTGCAAAAATCCAAGATGCTCCTGAATGTTTTGCTTCTTTTCTGTAATAAATGATTCAAAGTGCATGACAGCTCGTGTGTATGCTTTAGAGCGGAAGGAAGCCGTGGCCAAAGTATCCTGAGGTATGAGGTCTAGAAAACGAGTTACACTCTGGTAGTCTTCATAATCCACAGAGGATACTAAGGTATATAAAGAAAAATAAGTAAATGAAAATCAAATTCTAAACGTGTCATTTAAAGCAGTTAGGTCCAATTTATCCTATTTGGACTGGAACTATCAAACAGGATAATTATTCTAAGGGTCCTTGTTCCAATTCTACCACTATAACTTTTGAAAGTCATTTACCTTATTTGAGTTCAAATACTTCATCTATAAAAAGGCAATATTAAGATTTGCCCAGTTTAACTTACTTTTATTATGAGAATTAAATGAAAACATATAAAATGTTGAACAAAAGATGATATAAATGATACAAAGACAAGTTACTATTTACCAAGAAAGTATGAAATACAGTGTACCTATTACTTAGAACAGAATTATAAAAATAACTATTTTATTTTAAAATTTAGACTTCTTTGTTAACAACCTATTTTTCCCCCTAACATATACCACACATCAACAACTACAATGGACATTGAAAGTAAAAGTGTCTTTGAAGATAAATAAGTACTTTAGGGTGTAATTTTTCAAAGTCTAAGAAAAGACAGAAACTTCTAAGTGAAGACAGTTCAGTTTATAAAATCTTGCTTCACAATTCTGCTTGATGTGACTGGATTATGGAATGATATGTATTAAATCCCAATTAATAAAATTTTTAAAAACTTAAAAATTTTAGTAATGATTCATAACAGCAAAGAAATATATTTCTTTAGAATTTATATGATGGAAAATTAAAAATATATAAAATTGAAAATAAGTTCCTTATTTTTATCAAAATTTTTATGCCATTTCAAATTTTGAGAACATTTAGGTATAATTTTTAATCATTCCAAATGTTATTCTTTAAAATCCAGAGTATTCTTTATTTATTGGGAAAATAACAGAAATGTTATTAAAAAGTTATAACAGAGCTCATGCTTAGTTTTGTTATAACGTTGTGGCATACGGAAATAGCAACAGACATTTGTTACAATAAGAATATATTAATATACAGAATCTAGGGAAAAAATCGCCAAGCAGGAAACTAATTGCAGTTCCAGAAAACTATAGGAAAATAACAGGAATATACGTGCTTTCACAAGTATGCAGACAGGAGAGCGAAACGCTCACAAACTAAGAACTGTATATGAGAAGGCAGCTTTGCAGACTACTCGCTTTTTTTCACTCAGTCTGAAAAGTCTACGGAAAACAACAGTGTTTTTGAAAATGCCTGAGGTATAAAAAAGCACAAGGTTTATTATGAATACTGAGAGGATATGAAGTAAATGGGTTATCAAATACTATTTATATCAGAAAATAACAATATTAACATCTCATTTACTTCCCAATTTGCAATTCATATATTCATCATCTCATTAAACTCTCACAAATATCCAATACTGGAGATACTATTAACTGTCAGTAGGAAAATTAGGTTTGTGTCTTATTAAAAAAGTGAATATGAATTTATAGATTTTTTGACTATAAGTTCATTGCTTTTTCTCAGTGAAAAACCCACAGTTTCACTCATAAGTCAAAAAGTTCTCCACAAAAACAGAGGGGTTATGTTAAGGGAATTATAGAATTGATGCAGGAAGTACCTAATGGGAAAATTAAAAGAAGACAAGCAATGGACATTATGACTCACCCATTGAATCCTTCCTGTCCCTGTTTGATTTGCTCTGTGGACATTTCTCAGCTTTCAGTGCCTGAAATTTGTGCCTTGCCCATTGGGTGAGGTGGTCAAGCATGGAGAACACAGTCTGTGTGCTTAGCTGACACAGATCAGATGCACTGTCTTGTGTACTTATGGTACACCGATCATCATGCTTTAGAACTGCCATAATTTCTGTATAAACCTAAGAAGAAAACATTTCTGGTCAAAAATATAGTCGCTAAAAGTCTTAGCTGCTAACCAAAATGGTGCTAACATATTAAGCTGTCTAAAATGTAAAAGTTAAAACTATCTGGTATTGACAAAGTATTAGGAAGTGGACACACTTGTGAACTGCTGGTAGAGACTATAAATCAGTACAATTAATGCTGTCATCATCACTAAAATTTCAAATGCATGTTAACATATAACCCAACAGTTCTACTTCTCAGTAACCACCCTGATGGAGGGAGAGTGAAAAAGAGACAAACATATATATACATTTTCACAAAGGTATTATTAAATTAAAAAGAAGGTATTGCCATGTTTATATATTTGAACACATCTTATACTTCCTAAGTTTTTTATAGTAAGCATTGTACAATTCTTTAATAAGTACAAGTTTTAAAATTTAATTAAACTTTTTTTAATTTTATGAATTTAGACATGTACACATATAACCATACCATGATACATGTATGAAGGGTACCAAAAAAGATCCAGAATCCCCCACCCCAATTTATGTATTTAATTTTTTTTACAAAACAACCTTATCCCCTTCAAAGTAGTCTCCAATACACTTTAATACAATTGTCAAATCTGCCATTCCATTCTGGGAACATTTTCCACACTCCTCTGTTAGGATGGCTGACAGCACTTCCTTGTTTTTTTCTTCACTTCATCTAGGCCATCAAATAGCTGTCCTTCCATGTCTCTCTTCATTAACAGAAACAAGAAGTTGCATGGAGCGAGGTGTGGTGAGTAAGATGCGTGGGGCAAGAGAGGCATGGTGTTTTTACTAAAAACTGGGGCACTGAGATGGCTGCCAGAGTAGGTGCACTGTCATAGTGGCAAAACCAGTGCATCTGCCACAAATTAGGCCTTTTTTTTCCACACACTTAGCAATCTTTCCAGAACATCTAAATAGAAAGCCTGATTAACAGTTTGACCAGGTGGAATGAACTGCAAAATGCATTATCGTTGATATTTTCGTCTGTTTGAGAACTGACAGACATCCAGACGAGGTTTGCCAATCAACATTTCACCTTCTTTAAAACGAGAAAACTACTCATACACTTGAGTTTTTCCCCTAGAATTGTCCTTGTAAGCTGTAGACAACATCTCAACAGTTTCTGCAGCATTGTTCCCTGCAGCATTGTTCCTGGGGCAGGAAACAAAATTTCACAGCCACACGCTGTTCTCTTAAATCAACCATCACAAAACATGAAGTTGGATTGCTTTTATGAAAAAATTCTCTGTGATCAGAGAACCTTCCCAGACAATGCCATTGGGTACACTAACTCAGAGCAAGTTGCTCAATGCTCACCTAGAGGGAAAAATGTGTACTATGAAGCTCCACTCTGCCCTGCACAATCCCGGTTTTGGGGGGTACCCCCTCTATATCATGATATAGATTTCTACTAATATGTATCCTTAATACTTATTTGGACAAAGGTTCACATATTCAGGAACTAAATATACTCTCTCACCTCCTGCTGATCTTCTTGATTACAGCCCAACAAAACATAGACAAGAATATGAGGCAGAAGATAGATGGTCACCTTAAAGTCGTGCTTCATCATAATGCTACAGCAGGTAAAGATTTTACTGGCTAGATCATGTCGTACCTGTAAACTCACATGATTAGGGCGAGTTAGTAATTTTACACACTGTATTGACTGAATGCCAAAAAGTCTCATGGGAGATGAAATTTATCACCACAGGCTGTTATTTTCTTGTGGGCAGAGGCATGTACACTAAAGCAGGGAGATTACAGATCACCACCTTTCTAGTCACTCTAGATCTTTTCAAGTACATGAACTGTTTGTGTTTTTTTCTTCTCTTAAGGTGGGGGTTATAGCCATTTTATTCTGCGTTTAATCTTTTTTTTTTTTTGGTAAGTGTCAGTAGTGGAACGATCCACCGTTTTTACTTGCAAAGGGTGAAAAGAAAGCTACTATATTTCTCCAGGACATTTATAAAGAGTTATCTTCACCTTGAGAAGAAACTGAGTAAGAATAAATGTCCACTTCAAGTACATGAACAGTTTGCTGTGATTCCTATTTGTCATTCAAACTAGAAAAAGTTCTTACCACTCACAGTTATTACAGATTAATCTTTCTAATTAATTACAATATACTTAGCTAACATTAAATAATGTAGTCAGAGTATGATCTAGAATAAAATATTAAGCATGAGATTCACATTTATAATAAATGTGATTTATACTAAAACTGATTGTAAACTACAGAAAAAAGTTAGAAAGGATATTACTGGGGGTTAGAATAAAATTTTATTGTATGACCTAAGTTTCAATTCATTAACATTAACATTCCCTTAGCAATTTTTAGGAGCTGTTTTCCCACAAATGTAAAATCTTTATTAAAGTGGAAAAGGAAAAAGAACTCAATGCCATTAAGTCGATTGTGATTCAGTGACCCTATAAGACAGGGTAGAACTGCCCCCGTGGGATACTGTAACTCTGCAGGAATAGAAAGTCTCATTTTCCTCTCACCTCCAACACATAACTCACTACCCCACCAGGGCTCCTAAAGAAAAGAGACCCCGCAAAAAAATTTCAAACAAAAAACAATTAAACAATCTAAATAAAAGATTTCACAATCAGAAATAGTGAGTTTGCTAGTATTCTAGTGCATTTTCACGATATCCCTTAGACATTTGAGAAAAAAATTTCATATAATTATCAGATATAAATTATCATGCTTAAAATCACAGAAATCTGAATTAAACAATAAAGCTGTGAACTGTACAAGCTCACAGAATATAACTTTCTCTGTCTAGTATGCAAACATTTCGTATTTGTAAAACATCAGAAATATATCTGCTTTTCTATAAAATTCCATTAAAAATACCTTTTGTATGAAATTCAGGTAATATGTCCTCTTTTAGGAGTTCTCATTAAAGGGTATCTTTTTATTACATTAAAAAAAATTTAAATATATATTACTCTATTATCACGTATATCATTATATCCATAAATCATTAAATCTTATTAAACCATATTCTGCACAATGTAAAGTCAATAAACATTTTTACAAACACATAAAGACCTGGTTAAAAAAAAAAAACCTGGTAAAATAACCTGATAAGAACTTCTTACTCGGAAATTGTTACAAGTAACAGTAAAAAAACTTGTCAGTCTCTATTAGCAAAACTTTTCTATAGAAAATATCTCTATTACTAAAAGTACAAGTATTTCAATGCCTTTTGAGTGTGCAAGGCTTTCAGATGGAAGATGACCTGGTTTCCTGTACAATTTCTGAGGCACTAACAACTTTTGTACATGGTTCCCTTACCTTTGTTATAAGATAACCAGCCCAAGATGCTGACCATTCTGCAAAATTATTACCTAATTTACTTAAGTAAATTGGCTTCTTTACTCCAGACCAATCTGTTGACTTCTGAGAACTCTTGTATCTGTAATTTTGAAAATTTGTTCATTAAAAAATATATAGAGATAAGAATTGATTTGGTGATGACTGCAAAACTTTTTAATGTTTTAACCACTGAATTGCATGATGTGAATTACGTTTAAATAAAACAGTTAAAATATAAGCATATATAGAGAGAGATGATATATTCATTCATTTCTAACTTAGTAAAGAAAGAACGATGAACTATCAACTCCTTCACTGACTACTCCACTACTGTCTTGAACTACATCACTTTTCTAGAGTCCTTTAGGCTAGGGTGAGAAATCAGTCGTTTACACGTAAAGCATCTCAAAGGAATTGTCTGTCTCCTCTCTTCTTCCTCCTCCTCTTCCACCTCAAGGCTTCTTACTCAATTTTTGTCTAAGGAAAACATTCCCTTTGTAGCTCAAGCCACCCAAGTCTACCATTTACTCCTCTTCTTCATTGTAGACATCTAATAAACTGATTAGCACATGGCTTTCCCAAGTCTTATTACCTATGCTCACCTAGACCACCTAATCAACTTCACAACTTTCTCCTTTACTCCAGTATCTGGGATCCCTTCTTGTCATTACACAGACATCATTTCCAAAATAAATTATTTAGGCCCTTTATGACCACAGTTTCCTATATGCTTGGGTCTTTGATCCAGTTACTCCAACACAGTCAATATCTCATTGAGATCTTTTCGGTTCGCAGCTATACCCTTGGCATCTGTGACAGCTTCCTTCCCCTACAACTACTTTTCAAAACCAGCTTACTCTTCGTGGCTAGGTCAAACTGTAGTGATCTATCTAGCTGTAAAAATTAATTTATGGCCCACCAGGCCGTGAAGATGATGTTCCCAATTAGAGCAGCCAGTCCACAGAGAGGACCACATGGCCGGCCCCACTATGAGACATGACGCCCCTCACTGACCCATAGCCCTAGAGGGGACAACACCGGAGACACTGTGTGGGAATTGCACCTGATCTGATCCCGCCACACAGAGGGAAAAACACTAAGGGGGAGCAACAGAACAGAAAGAGAACGTTGCGGCGAGGTCCCCAGGGAATGCTGAAGGTGGACTTTGGGGCCAGTGTGGTGCCCCAACAGACTGCACTGGAAAACACTCCTAAAGGCCAACAAACAATCCTTGAACTAACTACAAGGTTTTCTTTCTTATGTTTTGTTTTGGTTTTTGTCATTGGTTTGTTGTTGTTTTGTTGTATATTGTTGCTTGGGTTTGCTCTGTCTTGTTTTTGTGCATGTTATTATCTCTGCAGGTCTGTCTAAATAAGATAGGTTGGATGAACAATCCAGAGGAGAAAACAACGGGACAGACAGTTCCAGGGGGACATGGCAGAGAAGGAGGTGGGGGGGAAAGGTAGTGGTGTTAACAATCGAAGGGACAAGGGAACAACAAGTGATCCAAATCGGTGGTGAAGAGGGTACAGGAGGCCTGGTAGGGCATGATCAAGGGTAATGTAACAAAGAGGAATTGCTGAAACCCAGGTGGGAACTGAGCATGATAGTGGGACAGGAGGAAAGTCAAAGGAAATAGAGCAAAGAGCTGGGAGGCAA